CAGTTTTGGACAAAATAATTAGCAAAATGTTATGATATATAAGTTTTATTTTCATATATATTCTATGTTTTAATATTATATACAAAAATAAAAAACACACAAAACATGACTCGAGTTATGGCTATTAATTATGACGTGAAGCCATCGCCGCCGCCGAAGATGTCCACTGAATCCAAGCGTACGGCCAATAGAGACACAATACCGGAGCCGAAGTAAGTGCTCATTTGATTGCCATTTAATTTGGTGCCATTATTTTTAATAATTAATTACATTAATTATCAGTATATCTAATAAGTGATTATAACGACAATGTATTACGAAATGTATTTTAATGTGTTTTGAGAATAACAATAATTTATATATTTATTGTTTATATTGTTTAGAAATTATAATTCAAAACACATTTAATTATCGTTTAAATATATGGGATACTAGAAAAATGTCATTTCTATATACGTTGGCTAACATTAAAGCATATGATAAAATGCTCATTTGTCTAATTGTTTCAATAATATTAAATATTTACGAGTATTTTGTAGATTAACAAAAAATTTTGGGTATAAAACAAAACCAAGGCTTTTAAACGGGATTCTGTGTAAACGTTATTAGGTTTTAGTGTTTTATAATATTTCATACGTTAAATGCCATAAAATTGCATTTTAGTTCACAAATTAGTTCACAAAATAAAAAGATTGCAAACGCTGGTCATTGCCGAGAGAGTTGTGTTTACCTTATTATAAGTGATAGCAATTTATTAAAACGCTTGAGAATATTGTTAATTATTTTATTACAAATATAAGTAAATTGAAATCTCAATTAACTGGGAATTAAAGGTATGAAAACTTTTTATGTTTTGAGCCCATAATTTGTACTTATTATTGAAAAAGATGGCATAATATTTAAATGATATATCCTTTGGTTCCATGAATTACCAAATAATTAATAATAAATTAAATTATAATATATTAACATTTCTAACCTAAACATTGATATTATTTATATACAGAATAATATGTAATATATTTGTTATTCAAATGAGTATTATATAAAAGGTTTGACATTCAATAGAATAAACACATGTTTTCCTTATTATAAGAAAAGATATACTTCTTGTGATTATTTACGTAAATGACATTTCCGTTCATATATTTGTAATGAAAATCATTGTTTAGATTACAAACAAATGATATATAGATTTACGTCAAAGATTTATAATAAAAAACATTCAGTGGTATATTCCTAAGAAAATTAATAAAATATGACCAAGATTATATCGTATATTTAAATCATTATTATTAGAGGTCAATAGGGAGAAGAGCAATCAGCAAGCCACTTTTGTATTTGTATTAATGCTTATTTATGATAATTAGTGATGATTATTTTTGTATACAATGATAAAAGACTGTACTTTTAAAAAATATTTTTATAATTACGTTATTCACTAAACTTATTATAATATGTTGAACTGATAAGTTAAATTATATACTTTTTTCATGTTTATAAAACTAATATTACAATATAACAATATGATTGTACCCTGCATAATTTATAAACTAATTTCACTATTCAATTGAGTATTTATAATTAACTTTGCACCATGATAAAAACTAAAATAAGTAAAGATTTTGACCATTAAACAATAGTTACCATTATAAAATAAACTCATTAAAACCATGTAAACTTAAACTAAACAAAACTGATTACAATTGTTTGATTAGTTACACAAAACTGAGTGAAAAGATCCGCAAATCAACGAATCAACAGCTCTTATGTAATATGTTTTGCGGCGGAAGGAAATGCAAATACGAGTTGTCCAACACTTGGACTGAACAACAGAAAGCATTGCCCGGAATATTTTCGCACTGGTATTGCGCTTATTGTTCATTGAATTACAATAATTTCAATGCAAATGTAAAATTGTGACATTCATTTCAAACATTATATGATAGGGTGACCGACGATATCCTAGCCATGGCTCGGCCTAACACTGAACTCATACACAAATTTGATTTAATACAAGCGTTTCATAAGTAAGACAATTACTTTTTTTATAGTGCTTTTAATTGTATTTGATTTGTTTTAACGGCTTGTTTTACGTGAATTCGTGAAAATTAGTATTACACCGTTTTGTGGATATAATAAATATGGTTAATTAATAGTCACTGTTTATTACTCCCAAATCTATAAAATTAGAAACAATATAAAGTCCATAATCAACCTCCAGGAGCCGGGAGAGCACTCTTCCTGTGGCAGTGGGCTTATGGACAGTGGTTTCTCATACGATCCCATACTCTTCATGGAGAATAAAGGTCTATATATTTGATAAATTACATTAATATCCGTTTAAATAAACCTAAAATACTATATAATAAACCATAAAATGCACCAAAAGTATAATATTTTATGGTTTGTATCTCTAATAATGTTTAATGAGATATAGAGGGGAAGCGTTTGATTAATTTTATTTGAATTGATGGTCGATTAGCACGCAATCCATACTCTTTATAATTAGTCCTTTGATACCAACTTTTTTAGTTAACATTTTTAATATTGACAACAATTTAGTGTAATTATAACACGGATTCTTGTTTTTGTTTGATCTCTCTC